CCCCAAAACCCCAAAACCCCAAAACCCCAAAACCCCAAAACCCCAAAACCCCATTTCTCTTATAAAATTAAATGAGTATCACCAAGGAAATTGCCCTCAATGGACTTGTCAAGAAAAACGTTTTATCTGTCCCAATGCACCAGATTTCAGAACTCAATATTCTTCAAGAATTCTCAGAGATAAAGCTTGGTAAGCAAAGGTTTGGCCATACTGGTCTCTAAATGGTCTAATATATCTTAGACAAGCTTGAGTCACTCAATGCCAGTTCAAATATGATAGAATGAATTGAAGAGTTTGTTAAATAAGTGCTTAAAGCTTGAGTTACTGGACTACTCGTTAAACAAGATCACAAAGATTGAGAACTTGAATCCTCCTGTAAGGCTGTGGTTTTATCCATAGGACCAAACAAGCAAACTTAAGTTCCTAAATCTGTCTCAAAACCAGATCTCTTCGATTACTGGGCTTAACAAGTTATCAAATCTCGTAGTGCTAGATCTGAGTATGAACTTTATCGAGAAGATAGAGAATCTTGAAGGTTTAGACAGCCTTGAGCAGCTGATATTATTTGGAAACAGGATTAGAGTCCTCGAGAATCTTGATGGACTTGGCAACCTCAAAGTCCTTAAGATCAACAACAATAGACTACTCACTATCAGTGAACTAGCTCTATATGATTTTCATAGTTTACAGGTACTCCATGCAGCAGATAACATAATAGACACTGATGAATTAGAGAGCTGCATCAAGACAGTATTATCCTTAGAGGCACTCCAAGAGCTCAGTCTCTATGGAAACCTTGTGGCTGATGACCCTACCTACAAATTTGCTTTCTCAGATCACACAAATTTGGCCAAACTAGATGGTCTAGAACTAAAGCCAGCCATCAAGCAGAAGTTCCAGTCAATGAAGAAAGATTACGAGATTGATAAACTTGTTGAAACCACGAAGGAAGAATACTTCAAAAGAATTGAGGCAGAAAGGGAGCTCAAAGTGGCTGCTGCCAACATGCTCAAAAAGCAACAGAAGTCAATTACTGATCAATATGACAACTTTATCGAGTACATGGAAAGAGACTTTGACGGATTCATCAACTATGTTTATGATCTTAAGAAGAGGAAGGACCTTGGCCAAGAGAATGAAATTACCGATATCGATCTTTACCAATGGCGGAAAACACTTCAAGAAAAAGAAGAGGAAAGACTAAGACTCCTCGAAGAGGCTCTGAATGGGATAGAGAGCAAAGAAAAATTTATGCTTGGTTCCCAGATACTCTCATCTGATAAAGAAGAAGCTTATAAGGCCAGCATGCCATTTCCTAATATGGCAAGCCAGTTAGATAAGAAAGGAGTTTATATGGAAATTGATCCAGAAAAGAGACAAATGTATCCTCCACCATCTAATAAGAGCAGGATTGATGATGCTCTTGATGGCTATGAGAAATTTAAAGATGAAGATTATAAAGCAAAAGAAAAGCATCAGCAAATTATGAACGATCCTTCTATCGGAGATCTCAATTATCAGCCACCTCCTCCTGATATTCCTAATTTGAGAGATCCACGGCTTAGAGAATTATATCAGGAAGAAGATAAAAACAACCTTGAACCTGATAATGACTTTAAAAATCTTGGAGAGACAGAAGCTTTAGATCAAAACAAATATTACTAACCCTCTAAATGGGCAAGAAATGCCACAAGATCCTCAGAGTATGCCTAGAGAGGAATCTAAAGATCCTCAACATTACAACAACCCCAACCATGGTCCAAATCCTAATGCTCAAAATCCCTCATCTATAGACCAGAGTGAGGCAGTGCCTCTCCAGAGTGCACCATCAGAACCCTCAAAAGGCAACAAAAAAAAGAAGAATTCCAAAAAGAGTAAGGATAAGAAGAAAAAGCAGCAGGCAGACCCCCAGAGCCAATCTGGCCAAGACAGGCCTCCTAAGAAGAAGTCAAAAGGATGCTTAATTTTCTAGAACAAGTCTTAACTAGCCTAAATCTGCCTAAAATTTAAGGGGTTTTGGGGTTTTGGGGTTTTGGGGTTTTGGGG